AGGTAAATGCACAATTAGTTTAATCAAAATAGCTGGCACTGGTTATCAAAGAGCCTTCCACAACTGAGCACATCTCCAAAAAAGATGATTCCCATTAGCAGCTACTGTCATTCAGAATGTCAGTGTGTCTCGTAAGTAAATAAAAACTGAGAACAAAGAACAAGTAAATAAATATATAAACTGGACTTTTCCCTGAGTAAGAATTCAGTGTTTATTGGGCTGTTGTTTTGATTTATGATATCAAGAAATTGAGTTCAGGGAATGTGTCAACCATAGAAATTGCTACAATAAAAAGGCTGCACCTCTTCAGCTGACCTCCACAGCTGCATTTTGCAACTTAAACCAAAAGGAAAATGTCCAGTGGATTAATAACATATTATGACACATCAACAAGTTAAACCATATAAACAAAGTGAAAAATATTACTTTTAATACACATACACAGACCTGCTTTGTCCTTTGTAAATGAAGTAAAATATCTGATATATCCAACTTCAAAGAGAAAATGAGAAATTAAAATAGCTATGATTTATAGTGTCATTCCTGATCAAATACATTTCACCATGTAGTACATTTAACAGTCTCTACATTTAACGCTGAATTAATATTTGCATGATTGGCACTGTATTGCTAGCTGGATGTCTTACAGGAATCCTAAACATTTTTTTAATCAAAATGATTAAATAAACCTCCTCTAAATGACCTAATTCTGCTTAAATGTATTGCAGATAGATGGGCTGGTTCAAAAATTTAATTAAGTAAAAAAGTAACCTCACATAGTGCTACAAAATAAGTCAGATTCAGAACCTCAGAACTATTTGAAGAAAGTGTTTTTGCAACTGAAATGTATAACTTTAAAACTTCAAAGCTTTGAAAAGGAAAAGGTCATGTTCAATTTACTGTTCTGATTTATGAATTGCTGATGCCAAAGCTAGGGATTATATTATTTTAACCTTTTTATCTCTGGCATAAATTTTTTTTAGCTTGTGAAAACACATTTATCCAGCACGTTACCAAAGCAACATTAATGAAAAGAAAACTGAATGTCCTCTTTTTATAATAATGTTAATGATTAACATAAACATGAATTATTAATAAGGCATTATTAAATTACTACTAATAATTGTAAAATACTCCAAAATGCAGGAAAGTGTGCAAGATACTTCTATGGCATTATTATTTTAATATATACATATATATTTTAGATGCTTATACACATTAGAAAAATTGTGAGTTCTTCCAAATAAGATTAGATTGTGACTATATGACTCTGTGACTGTTTATAAGAAAAACGGGGATGTTGCTGATTGCTACTGTTTACTTATTAGCACCTATAACAGATAAAAGAATAATAAAAAATAAAATATGTGCTCTATTTGAACATATGCCCCTTGTTTTAGTTATAATTGTGTTGCTATTATGTTTTATTTCCTTTTCTTTTTAAAGAGGAAAAGGTGGCCCTGCTGTGTTGGGAACAATGGAACTCAGACCTCCTGTACCACACATGATTCCTACAGGTTACTGCTTTCAGAATTTGACAAATCTCAGCAGTAGGACTGACTCTTTGATCTATTTTGTATCTGTGTTGTATCACTGTTTTGTTTTGCTCTTAACCATTTAGGAATGCTGCAATCAAATCACCAAAGGACTTCTCTCTATTTTGGACATAAAATGTGTTTGCACATAGACTGTAAATAGGATTCTGCATGGTACTTTCATTATTGTGATAAAATCAACAGTTAGACAGCTTTAATAAATTTAAAGATATCTATTTTGCAAAGTCAATGTCTAAAAATGATATG